TTAGGACCTGGGAGCTTCCCAGGGGTCCTCCTGGATGAGCATGCACCCTGTGGTGGCCAGGCCTTGGAGAGGTGACCGCTGGGCCTTGGTCCCGGAAGGCCAGGTTAGACCTTAGGTAAGAAGAGCTGCAGGACCCATGGTAGAACCTGTGGACATCACAGGGAAAAGCTCAGGAGGCCAGGCATGAGCGGGGCCTCAGCTGGTGTGAATGCAGCCTCTGTTGGTTGCTGGGGTGGGGGGTAGGGGACAGGCCAGCCGCCCCAGGCAGACGTGCACAAGGCTACACTTGCTGCATAGTGCCCTCAGGCAGCAGGCATTGGAATGGGACTGGTCTGCTTGCTCATGTGCCTGCGCACACGATGACCCTGCTCCACTGTGAGACTACAGGAGGACCCCTCAGCGAAAGCCCAGTGTGGTGCCAGGGTCAGGTGCAGCCTGAGTATTGCTGGGTCCATGATACTGTGCACAGGCTCTCGTGAGGCATGTGGGAGCATGCATGGGTCAGCTGGTGAGCTGAAGGGCCACTCACCGGATGGGTGTGGGTGGGTGGGCACCAGCAAAAGGCATGGCAGGTGTGGTGGCCTTGCTCCTCAGGCTGGCTGTCACAGGACCTGTGGAGAGATCTGTGCCCTATCGCCTGGGGAGGCCAGGTGTGCACCCTGTGTGTGTAACCCACCATGGGCTGAGCATCTCTGGGTGCCGGTGGTCGGGCAGGAGGAGGTGTCCTGGGCAGGTGATCACACCAGGGGCATGAGTGAGAGGGCAGTTCTCTAAAGATTTCTCAGACCCCACATGGGCAATGGCAGGAAGCTTGCTGAGGATTTGGCCTGTGTCCTGACATTGGGTGACCTTAGCCAGGCCAGACTCCATGGCCTCAGGCCATCCTCTTGGGCTAATACAGATGCCAGGGCCTGGCCCAGTGTAGCCTGGAGTCCCCTTCCTGAAGCCTGGTTGGGCTTGGCCTCTGGCCAAGTGGTTGAGAGGGTAAAATGTGGGCAGTGAGCCCCTTCGTAGTTCCAGGGGTCCTGCTGACCCCACTGGACCCCAGGAGATGTCTGGTTCTCAAGCTGGCTTCTGCAGTTCACCCCAGACTTTGCTGCCAAGGCACTGGCCTGCCCAGTGGACTTTGCAAGGCCAACCCTGCCCTTTAGTGTCTTGTCTAAGTCTGGAATTCCTAGGTCCAGCATGTGCACACTGCTGACCAGCAGCCCTTCTAATGAACCACCACCTGGGCAGGGCTTGGGGTGTCCGTGGGTGCTGCAGATACTGGCCCAGTTTGTGCATGGCTGTGTGTGCACGTGTTCCCAGGTGCCTGTGAGCTGAAACTGCCCACGTGTCCCCAGTGATACTTGCCAGCTAAAAGGCCAGGTCTGTTGGGGCCTCTGAGCTCAAGGCTGGGCTGGGCTGGGCAGTCCTGGGGATATCAGAAGAGGGCCTGGGCAGGGCTGTGCTCTCCTTGAGACATCCTTGGCCTGGACACCAGGAACCGTGCCACCCTTTCAATGTCTCCAGCAAGGGCATTCAGCAGCAGTGGCCCAGCCCCAGGGCAGCCCAGCTCAGAGAACAAGACATCAGGCACCGCAGAAGCTGTCACACATGGCTGTGGCTCAGGACAGGCACCAGGGTCTCTAAGACAGTAGGACTGGTGGCAGTGGCAGCAGTGGTGAGGTGAAGCACCTGGATTGTTGGGGTTGGGCTGGCTGGCTGGCTGGGGACAGTAGCTGCCCTGCTGTGTGTGAAGGGACCTGCGTCTGGCACTGCAGCTTTGGGTTGTGAGTCCAAGCCCTGCTCCAGTCTGATCGCGCTCAGTGGACTCGAGCCCTAGGGCCAAGCGCTTTGCAGCTTGGCGCCCAGTGCCACATAGGGGCTGTTGTCCCCTGTGGCCTCATGGGCACCTCTGGGGTATAGGCCCTCTGGAAGTGAGGAATGCAGGCTCTGGGCCCAGCTGCCTCCAGCAGGACTCCTACCTGAGTATAATCAGTCCTTTGTGTGGGGACTGCTGTCCCCCCTTTGGGTATCCCTAGCACGGCAGCGGGTGGGGAGGGGCTGCAGCATGGGCGGGACAGTGACGTGGGATAGGAGGGGCCTCTCATAAGCCCCTGCTGGCCTGTGGCCAAAGCACCAGAGGGCCCAGAGCAGTGAGCATCGTGTCCTCGGAGCAGGTTGGTGGCTTGTCTACAGTCTTGCAGGGAGAACGGGGGCCCAGAGGAACCACTTGGGTGTGAAATGGGGATGACCTCGACCTTTCAGAGGTTGAGCCAGGAGCTGAGCTGTGGGCAGCAGGAGTGGGATCTCCAGGGCCCGGGTGCAGCAGCAGAACTGGACTGCCTGTGCTCTCAACGCTATGGGGGTCTCCACACCCCAAAGCATGGGAGGCAGGGGTTGGGTGCCCCGCCAAGAAGGCCGTATGATTGCAGTCATAACCACAGGGAGGTGTCTGGCTTCGCAGTATGCAGCAGGAGGGTGCCGGGTCCTGGGAGAGGGCTTGGCACTCACCTGGCACCTCTGGTCTGACTTGGTAGCAACACCACGGCACCCTCCCCAGGTTGCCTGTGTCTGGGTCTCTTGGCCTTGGCTTCTTGCCAGGCCAGCACCAGGGGCCTTGAACTGCTGACAGCCTTCTCACTGAGTGGGATCTTCCCAGGGGCACCCCTGAAGCACACAGCTGGAAGGGTGGGGGTCTTGCAGGTGCCAGCAGGCTGAAATCACACTGAGGGACTGTGGGCTGTGCTGAACCTCCGCTCAGCACAGACGTGCCCAGGGCCCAGTGTAGGCCTGGGTAAGGGGGGGAGTGGGGGCGGGCCTCTTCTGGGGCCTGGGTCTCAAGACCCTGGTGTGACAGCAGTTCACAGGCCTGGGAAGTGCTGGCTGCCTGGCCGGGAGGCAAAAGCAGGTGGGCAAGCGATGAGGTGCTGTGGCCCCTCCTTCCACAGGCTGTACACCATGAACACCCAGGGCCACCGCAACCTCCACGTCTGCCTCTGGCTGTGGCTGGGCACCCTCTTGGCACATGGGCAGGGACAGGGTAAGAGATGGGGCCTCTGCCACACTTTGGCCTTTCCTTAGCCAAGGAAATGGGAGCTGAACGCCTGTCTGAGAGCTGACCTGACAAGGCAGCAGGCAGGCAGGCAGAGCAGAGGGGACGCCTGGCTCCTGTGCCATCCTCTCGCTTCTCCGTGGCCTGTGGCCTTGTCGTCGTCTTTTGGCTTTGTTACCCACAAACGCCTCTCCCAGCTGGAGTAGAGAAAGATCCTACCACTCTTGCCTGCAGAGAAAAGCTTGGCTCTGATTTTCTGTCCTGCCCGCACCAAACCCTCTGTAGGTGACTGGAGTCTCACAGGGCGGGACAGGGCACCTCTGTTGCACCACCTTCTGATAGCCCTGGCCATGGGTCACCTGCTGCGGGGTTAGGGTTAGGGTGGCCTGGAGTCTGCCCGGTGAGAGTGCTCAGTGGGTCCTGGGAAGAGGCCTTTCCTCCGAGGGGCACAGGCTGCCCATGTATGCTTGGTTGGTGTCCTGGCTGGCCCCTTGCAGCCCTCTGGCACGCTGGGGCTGCCACAGAGCGGTGTCCGCTCTTGGTGGCACTTCTTCCCTGTCTGAATCTGTGTGTCTGGGTCACCAGCGGGGGCCGGCACTGTCTGGGTTGTAAATGCCCCTGCCCACCATGCAGCCCAGGTCCGGCCTGGAGCCCCAGTAGTTGCTCTGTCTCTAGCCTGTCCCTAGCTTGGCTGGGGGAGCCATCCCCTGCCTGTCACCTGAGTAGGCCCCTGGCCTCGGGATAACCTGAAATGGGATGCCAGGCCAAGATTTCAGGGAGCAGGAAGCTACCGCTGGCCATCTGAGCTAGGTCACAGAGTGACCCTGTAGCAGGCAGCACCACATGCACCTGCTTCCCACTGGGTCTGTGGGGCCCCAAGCGGGCTAGCGTGGCCGGTGGCTCCTGTGAGGTGTGGTGCCGCTGTAGTGAGGGGGAGGGAGTGGGCGCCACCTTGGGGCCTTCCCGAAGCCAACCCCCCCCCATGTCAGAGTGGAGAGGAGAAACAGGAGGCCCTTCATGGGCAGGCTTGGGCTGTGGGCTCTGGCCCTCACTGCGCCCTCGGAGCTCAGCTCCGCCCAGCACATTCCCGCCTCAGTGGCTTCTCCCCAGCAGTTGGGCCCCATCTGGCGACCGCTCAGCGGTCCCTCTGAATGGGCATGTGTCTGTCTCGGCTCCCTGGGCCGCGCTGTGCCTGTGCCCCAGCTCGCAGTGGGGTGGCTAGAAGACACCTGTCTCTGTCCCCGTTTTCCTAAAATAGCCACTGCTGTTCCAGAGTCCGGACGCCTCCCAGGAGGTCAGGCTAGGCCCTGACTGCCCTGCGTCTCCCATCTGGCCGAGGCAGTGCTGGCCTCTCCCCACAGCAGGCACCCACCCAGCGTGGGCTGAAGCTGCAGACACAGCTACACACGTGCAGCCTTCTTCCTGCTGGCCTTTTTGGCCAGACCGTGCCAAGGGATGTCAGCCTAGTGTGATCTGGGCCGTGGTGAGGCATGGCTGATTTTTGACATGGGCTGGGGGAGCCCAGGCAGGTGCCGTGGCCCCAGCAGGTCAGCAGTACACAGTGCCCTGCCCCGCCTCCCCGAGCCCGGCTGCCTCAGCCCTGGGCTGGCTCCACCTGCTGAGCTGGAATGAGGCTCTTCCCACTGACACTGCTGAGTGGCCCCATCACCAAGGACCTGCGGCAGACCCGATTCCAGTGCCTCCGGGGCCAGAGCCCCAGCCACCACAGCAGGGTTGGGGTCCCCCCCCAGGTCGAGGGCAGGTCCTGGGAGCCTACAGCTGGTGGGGACAGAGGAGGAGGAGTGGTAGGCTGTGGGGCCTCCTGACTCCTCGTCCTGGCTGTGCAGCAGGCCGCCTGAGGCTGGTGGTACTGCCCGAGGACCGGCTGCAGATGAAGTGGAGAGAATCGCGGGGGGCAGGCCTCGGCTACCTGGTGCAGGTGAAGCCCATGGCAGGTAGGGGCTAACGCAGTCGCTGCCTTGCAGATGGCAGCCTCTGCCGGACGCAGCCAGCCTGCCCCCGGGTGTGGCTCCCTTAGTCTTTCCCTTTCTTCTGGGGTTTATTTGCTCAGTGTAATGATGGCACCCACTGTGGAGAGTTGGTGAATGCACATGACAGATCTTCGTTCTGTTTTCATCCCTTTTCCCTCTGCTTCCTCTAACCTGGATTTCTTTTCCATTTGCCAAAGGCCTATTTTTCTGTTTATTATCTAGCTTTTATTTTGACAGGGTCAGGCTGTGTATTCAAGCTGGCCTTGAACTCACTATGTAGCCCAGGGTGGCCTTGGACAAGGGCGATCCAGCCCCCGAGTGCGAGGATCACGGGCAAGCGTCCCCACACTGGGCTATCCTGCCCTTTAGTTACGTGTGCTCTGGGTTTCTCGTAGGAGAAGCCCTGCGATATTTAAGCCTCTAGATGTGCGTTTTCCTCACTCAGCCTTGTGGCCTCCAGGCACACCCGCTTTCCTATAGAGGACTCAAGTGTGTCCTTCCTTGCAGGACTGCACCTCACCACGTGTGACCACCGCAGTCCCATTGTCCACCCGCCCGGGGTCAGCATGGGGCATCCCCCATGACTTAGTGTGAGTTGTGAACACGGGCATGCGTGTGTCTGTGGGGATGACTTCTGAGCCTGGTGTGTTTTTGTGTAAGAGCTTTGAATCGAGCAGAGGTCTTTCCCGTGTGGCTGCGCAGCTTCCCCTAGTGTCTGTCAGTTTGGTGAGTCGGTTTTTCCTAGGAATTTGCGTCTCGCCTGTGTTTGCAGATGACTTGGCATAAATTGTTCATGGTGTTCTGCTCTTCTAAGTCACTTCTGTCTAAGTGTCTGTGTACTCAGTGGTTATAGCCCCCTTTCATTTCTGTTTTGGTTATTTGAATCTTCTCTGTTTTTACTGTCAACAATTTAGAGGTTTATATATTTTATGTATTAGTTTTTAATAAAACATTTATGTCTTAGCCTTGTTAAGATGTTCGTTCTTTTATTTCGTTAATTTCCTCTTTTCTATTTCCTTCTACTGTCTTTGGATTTAACTTTCTATTGTTAGGATTGATTATTTTCTACTACTTTTAGCCTATCTTTTTGTTGTTGTTCTTGACTGGCTTTTTGAGACACGGCCTTGCTCTGGAGCCCAGGCTGGCCCCGAACTCGTGGCCGCACTCTCGCTCCTGGCATCTCGGCATGTGCAGCCCCTGCCCTTGCTCCCTTGTCTCCCCTTGTCTGCTGCCTTCCGAGCTGTCAGCACAGCTCCAACAGTGTCTGTGGCAAGCGCCTTTCACGTTCTCAGGCTCTTAGCCTTTCTCTGTTCTAAGTAGCATCCGATTGGGAATTGCTTTCATCCATTGTGAAAATCTTTGTCTTTTAAGTGAAACATTTTATCCCTTTATGTTAGCAGAATTACTGACCTGAGGTTGAATCTACAATCTTCCTGCTTGTTTTCCTTTTCCTTTTTTTTTTTTTGGGGGGGGGGGGGTTTTCCTTTTTCTACTTGTTATAAATGTTTGTTTT